TCCAAGCAGATATTTACAAACTAACTGCTGAACTACAAATCTGAACTTTCATGTGGATTATACGGAGTCCCAAATGTGGACCAGATTTGACCTTTTTTACCAGAGAAACTTTGGTATATTCTGATTAGTTTAAAGCACAGGTGTCAAACATAAGGCCCGGGGGCCAGATCCGGCCCTCCAAGACCTTTAATCTGGCCCTTGGGTGATTTTCTACTAAAATATTGTAATTATATTTTCTATTAAAATATTGTTAATTTTCTGCGTGTTTAGCACAGCAGCGTCTCCAGCGTCTCTGTACGTGGCCCCTCCCACCAGAGCAGCACAAATGAAGACTTGTCTCTTTCCAAACGCTCTTAAAGGACGATCGTTTTGACTGTTGACCGTGACACCCTCATCAGAAAAATGTCCAACATGAGAAAAGTGGAGCCGAGTGCAGGATTTTACAACAAAAAATGGACTTATTCCTGTTTACAGACAAGTTCATGTTAAAACATTGTGTTGAAATAGATTTTTTCTTAAAGTTTCAGGTTGTTCATAATATTATAATAAGAAAGAGTTCATCAATTAAAAAAGATTTCTGTAATAGATTTGTGTTTCTCTGCACAAATATTTGAACTTATTGTTATTTTTGGGGTTTATATGACATGAGTTTTCTGATCCGGCCCCTTTGGGATCAAAGTAGGTTGGATACGGCCCCCGGACCAAAATGGGTTTGACACCCCTGGTTTAAAGTAATAAAAACATCTACTTTTAACTTCCTTAATTTCAAATGGAATTTTTGAAAGTGAGCTCTCACGGGTCATTTTTTGTGGAGTTTAGGGACTTTTCCACCTGTGAGCAAGGCTAAATGACCTTTAACAGCCTTAAACACTAACTGCTTGTTATAAGAGAAGACAATTAGACAACAGATTTAGAATCTATGACCAAGAATCTACAATAATACACATTTTCAGCTTCCTAACTCTATTTTTTATGAAGTCATGGTCTTTCAAAACTGCTTATAAATTAAGGTTTCTGAAAAGGCATGGCCCCAAAATTTCAACGGGCCATAACTCAGGAACAACTGAAGGGATTGAGCTAAAATTTTAGATTCTTTAATTTGGTAATTTTAGAAATTTTTTGAATTTTTTTCAGCCAAATCTGAGATGGCTCATAGGGGAGATTCCGTGAAAATTGCTGATTTCATATGGACGGACCCTTTTGTGAAAAAGAACGAGCCACGAGTGTTCTGCTGTTATATCTGCCAAAAGTGGACACTTTCAAGAATCAAAAGTTTAGAATATGTTTTGGTCAACAGTAAAGAGTAAAAAATGTAAAAAGTGTGGTGTTCTAAAACCTCTGATCAGTAGTGTAAGTAAAGTAGAGACTTAACTACTTGCAAAATGTCCATGTGTCGAGAGAAAACAATTATTTTAAAAGTTTACAGATTTGTTTCAATAATTATGAAAACTGAAAACTTTGCAGAGTTTGAACATAGTTTTTAAACATAATTTTACGATAACTGAAGGTCTCAAAGGGGCAGTGACAGGAACCTTACCAACAACATCTGTGAGTTGAAAACCAAATTAATTTATTTCTATGAACATTCACCCTGTATTTACACGTGTGGCTAAAGTCCTATACACCATAAACATCTCTACAAATAAACTCCAGCTCGTTTGGGTTCGACCAATCAGACGGCAGTATCAGCATGAGTGGGCGGGGTTTCGATTTACACTGTAACATATACAATACCTCATAATAACGCGGTAATTACATGGTGCACATTTACAAAGTCGGTCAAAAATATAGAGTTTCCTAAATCCGTTTCGTTTGGGAGTTTAGCTACAAAATAAGAAGAGCTGCTGCGATCGGCTAAAAAGTCCTCAGCGAGAGTCTCTCCTCTTCACAAAATCTGAAGAGACACGACAAGACGGCCAATCGGATACAAGAACAAGAAGAACGTTTGGTCAGAGGTGGATAGAGCAGCCCACAAATGTACTCAAGTAACATTAAAAAAAACAACAAAAAAACAAAGAATTACCGTAGTGAGAGAAAATTTTTGAGAAACTTCTGCTCAGGTCTGGACTTAACGTTTGATTTATTGAACCTGTGTCTCCAGAGTCCTCACCTGCAGATAGAGACACATCCAAGTTTGTCTCATTCTCAGTTTATTGACAAACCAGGCCTCACGTGAAAGCTCAGAACCTCTAGAATTTTCTCCCTGAGCTGCAGACGCTGCACTAGCACTGACTCATGACGTCTGCAGGTGCTGGGGTTTAGGTTCAGATCAGACAGAGGCAATATACCGTAATTTCCGGACTATAAGCCGCTACTTTTTCTCGCAATTTGAACCCTGCGGCGAATAAAACGATGGGGCGAATATATGGACAGATTCTTTGTTTGGCACATTGTCCATTCATATTTATGGTCTATGGTCTAACACATGGATCTAGGGTTAACATGAAGTTGCAGCGTTAGTTAGTGATGTTGCCAGCACTAAAACAGTTTAATGCCGTGTGATAAAATAAGTTATGATGCTAAATGACGAGAAGAAACGTCTCAAACTTCTGTAGCCGAACATCCGCTCAGACCTGATCGATACAACTAACCGAGCCCCCGAGAGAGTCTGAAATGTGCTGAAATCCTCCAAGACACTGACATGATACAGACAGAACAGAGGCTCTTTCTGCAGGAGACATGCGCAGTAAAGTGTAGGAGAAAGACGGAGGTGAAGCGCCGAGGAAGATGCTGTTTGATTGTGTTTTGAACAGTTATTTTGGAAAACACGCGAAGAAACGCAGATGATGCAGCTTTTAAAGGTTGTATAGAGGATTTTCCAAGGAACGAGAAATCCAGCGACTGTTTGTCCTTTTTCAAATGTTGCGCATGCGTGAAACCACCCCCCCTCCCCTACAGCTCCTACGTAGAAACGCCTCCTCCCGCCTCCTCCTTACACCAGAAACAGGTTTGTTTACAGCCGGTGCACATGACTTGTAAACAACTAACTACAGTGTTGTTTAGGCAAGACGGAGAAGTGAGGAGCGGGGGGAGCGGGCGTGCGGACATTTCGTGCGCGAACATTTCGTGCGCAGAGCAGGGAGAAGAGCGGAGCAGGGAGCGAGAGAGGAGAGAGGAGAGGGGAGCGGTGCGCGGAGATTCCGTGCCCGAGAAGTGAGGAGCAGGGGGAAGAGCGGATCGGGCAGCGGGGACAGGAGCAGGAAAGGGGAGCAGAGAAGGTTGCGCGGAGATTCAGTGCGAATGAACTAGCTACAACACGCAGCAGCAAGCGGACTCTTTCTTTGCCTTGAAAATTACGTTTTCAGACATAGGATATCGCTTTCGTGTCCTGAAAAACGTTTGTCTCGCTCTTGGAAATAAAGTACGTTTTCATAATAAGCAGAAGTTTCCTGTCCAGGAGTAATTTGTGGACCAGTGCGTCAGTCTTTAGACCCTGCGTCTGCTTCAGTCGCGCCATCGCTGGAATGAATCTCCAAGAATCACCTTAGTTTGGCTTTCGCTGCTTTTCCCCTTGTCTTCTTCTTTCAGCGACCTCAAAAACGGACTTTCTTTTGCGGCGAACTGCTCCTGGATTCTTGTCGCCATTGCAACAAACTTTGTGCGAACTGCGAGGAAGATATAGGTCAAAAAAAGCCGCTAAGAACTGTTGCGTTGGTGGAGTAAACAGCGTCTGTGCGTCTTGCGTCTGTGGACTGCGTGACAGTCGTACGTAAACCACGTACCGGCGGCGCAGGCAAGTCAGTTACGCTAGAAACGTAGGGAGTTTGATTGACAGCCTGTCAGCTCACAGATAACGAGGCAGTGTCGTTATCTATTGGCAAATGTTTAGCCCCACCACGTCCAGAGTTGATGAATTTTTATTCTCTTTTTTTTGGTCATCATAATTACAAGGCTACTGCATCTCTATAATCTATCATTGACAATTTGAAACAAAAAAAATCCTCCATACAACCTTTAAGTTAACGGCGATTGATGTGTCTGTGGAAGAAGGAAACAGAGCTGCCGCACGTGAACTCGACATCAGTGAGTCGATGATGAGATTTTGGCGACGGCAGCGTGACGAACTGACTCGACGCAAAAAGGCGATAAAAACAGATGGCCTGAACTTGAAAATGTTCTTGAAGACGTGGACACCTGCAGCTTATATTCAGGTGCGGCCAATATATGTACAATTTAAAAATTTTGTTAAAATGTTGTTGATGCGGCGTATTTTCAGGTGAGCTCAATAGTCCGGAAAATACGGTAGGTTTAAACCAACTGGATTTCAGCATTGGAACTGGCAACACAAATGAGAGAGTCACGAGAGGCTCATTCTGCTAAACATGTCCAATGTTTTTGTGACTAAGAATAATTCGGCATTAGAATTTGTATCAGTAAAATGTATATTTACATTATATTTGATTGCAACATACTGTGTCAATCTCATATCTGGGGACACAGGTCATGTTTATGGAATCTGAAATCAAAGTCTTACATTTATTTCCTTTAAATTACAAGAAATACAAATTGAGTTTTTCTGTAAGAAACACAAATGTTCAGATCATTTCATATTGTCAACATAAATCATTTGCCACTTGGAGACTTACAGTGGGACAAGTAAAAGTACGGTTACACTGTCAAATATTTGTTATTCAAAAGTCACTTAAGTAAATGTACTTGAGTAAATGTGACGACTACCCACCTCTGCATTTCAGTTCATAAAATAAAGAGTTATAGCTTGGTTTTCCACTTGAATATTAAGCACACATTGACCCTTCTCTCCCTAATATGACAGGACAATCTTCTCATCAAGATGAAATCCAAAGATTTCAGATTCAGGCTTTCTTAGAAGATCCCAACATCTATGAAACTATCACAAGTTCATCCGATTCTCCAGCTTTCATCCATCTCCATTTCATCCATCTCCATTTCATCCATCTCCATTTCATCCACTTTCCATCCTTCTTTACTCCATCCTTCTTTAGTCCATCCTTCTTTCAGTCACCCTGTTTGTCCAAGTATCAGAAGGTGCAGGCATAGACCACGCCCACCACCACGATGTTGCCGATGGTCGCGATGATGGCGATCCACAGCCAGATGGCGTCAGAGGACATGCTCTGCTGCTCCTCCTGCTGGCTCTGAGCTGACGCTGCGGCGGCTGCGTGGACGTTGGCTGAAGAGTTAAACAGAGAGTGTTCTCCGCTGTAGTCATCGTTAGGAGACGAGTCCATGAAGGCCCCCGTCATCACTGGGATCTGCACACACACAGCAGAGACAAAAGGTCATATCTAATGTCATCACCGGGATCTGCACACACCATAGACTGTATAAAGAAGTGCACTAAGCGAGTATGACGTCACCGACAGCGTTCAGCTCCTGATGTTAACCCTCTCAGGCTCAAATTAAATTTTAGTAACAGGAAAAAATCTGATATTTGGAGAAAATGATCATAATAATCCTCTTTTTTTGGAGAGAGACCTTCACATGCACTGTGTTCTGGGATGTTTCAGATTTGCAGCATTGGTCCGGTGTGGTAAATTAACACTGAAGACTGAAAATGATATGAACGCTAACTTTATTTGTATATCACTTTTCATAACAATGAAAACATAAAGCACAGTGTAACAGCTTTACAGTGGCAGAACATAATTTTTTTGTGTGGTGCTCCAAGAAACAATTTTTTCCTTTGTAAACAACAAAAGTACTTTGCACTTCTGGCAGGCCGTTTGTGTGTAGTCATTCTTGCACAGTCTGCATCATCCATGTTTATCAGCATGGATGTGAAAAAAGGCTCCTGAGTAAAAAAGGCTCATAAAATATGGATTTGGAGTTAGTAGGTAACTGGTATTTAGCTGTTGCAAATCTGCAACACCTGCCTGGAGACGGTTAATGATTACAGGGGCAAATCTGGAGTGAGACTTTATATTATGAATAGGATTTTTATGACGCATCATCACCAGGATAATGCAGAACGAGTTCATACAAACATTTTGAGACCAAAATGACAGGACTCACAGCAGCAGTTACAGAGAGAGGGGCAACAATATTCCAATGTAGGAGCCAGAGTCAGAAGGAGCCAGAATACCAACTTCCTACTTGGAACACGGCGACTAACGCGTTAGATATGTCCATTTATAAATACAGTCTATGGGACACACACGGAGGAACTCCCTGCCACAGTGGCTCTAGTGCAGCCTGTACACTTGGCTCTTCAAGATTTGCTGACATTTGTAAGAAGTAAAGATTTTGATTCAAATGTGTAATTATAGCCTGTCTGCAGATTTAAGACCAAACCAATGTGTTCCCCTAAAACAGAACAATTAGAACATTTCTCTAAATGTGCTCTCTTAACATGCAAAATATTATGACCCGCTAAAATTGATTCATTTTGGTCGGTTGAGAAAAAAAAAAAAAAAAAAAAAAAAGAAGCACCCCTGCTCTAGTGCATACTGAAACTGTGTCCTTAAACAAGACACTTTGTCCACCTTGCCCAGTATGAATGTGGTGTGTGAGTGACTGACAGAGGATTGTCAGTGACTACGGTTGTGGTATCAGAGTTGTACCACCCCTGAGTGTGGCGTGAATGAAGAATGCTCTGGAACATTTCAAACAATGTAAAAGTTTGATGACCATTTGACCAGAGTCCAGCAAAGTCTTCACTGTGACTGTGACTGTGACTAATGCTGTGGAGGTGATGCAGGTTTGTAGAAGCAGGACCAGATGGAGCAAACCTAAACTGAAGCTCAGAACCAGAACCAGAGCAGAGTCCAAACCCCTGCCCCAGCGCACACCTTCTGTCTGTGGATGTGATGGACCAACTGAGGCGTGTCTTTACCTCTGCTCCTCTACAGCCTGGAACACCTGGAAAACAAGCTCTACGATCATCTGTACTGATCAAACACATGCAAGTCTATCAAAGAACTGCAAGGAACCTCCACATTGAGTTTTCAATACAAAAATAGCAAAACCTAACAATCTCCCTAGGCCCTAATTCAACCCTGCTTAGAGTTTGCTGTAAGATTCTGTACAAGGCTCCGCCCACAAGTCTACATCACCCATTCTCCCACATGACAATTCTCCAGAAATACACAAAAACATGATACAGCAGCAACAAACCTGATGTGAAGTGCCATAGTTTCATTAGTGCAGGGGTCTCAGACTCGCGGCCCTCGGAAGGATTTTTTGCGACCCTCCATTTAATTCCAAAGAATAATGTCAGTGCGGTCCCGCGGTAGATGTACACACAACCCCACCCCCCGACCGCGAGCCGCACTGACAGATGAAGCTGCAATCGGTGCCCATGCAGATTCACAACAACAGATTATTAACGCAGCTTACGTCCCAAAACTCAACTTACAGCAGTTGTGAAGCAACGAGTCTAAGGCTGCGTTCAGACTGCAGCCTGAAGTGACCCAAATCAAATTTTTTGGCCTCTATGTGACCTGTATCTGATCTTTTAATGACAGTCTGAACAACACAGATCCGATTTTTTCAAATGTGACCCAGGACACTTGGATATGTGCTCCTGAAACCGATACATATCTGATCTTTTGACATGTGACTTCAGTGTGAACGGCCAAAGTGCATTCATCCACCTACACGTTATCAACAAGACACAAACGTCACTATTCTGCGCTGAAGTAGGTGAAAATTGTTAATGAACTCCGTGTCACTGAAGTGAAGCACATCACCACTCACCACTCTTGGCTCCGTCTCCACATCCACACGTTCCTTTCAACGGACGTCGCTGCCGCTGTCCCACAAAACACCACGACCAAAAACCTCGTCCTTCTCCTTCTCAATCTCCTCCTTAAAACAAGTAAGTTGTTCATGTTCTGGCTCCGGTACGAGAGGAACTTTAAAATCTCCAGGTGCTCGATGCTGCGTCCATGTTTGGACAACTTCCGTAAACACAGAGACGCTCGCTGCGGTTGACGTCGTCGTGTCTCCAGTGTCACATGCGGGACACTTTCGGGCCGTTTAACGTTCACACAGGGGATCGCATACAAGTCACATTTAATTGGAAATGTGAACGACCTCGCAAAAACATCGGATTTCACCAAAAAATCGGAATTGAGCGTTAAGCCCTGCAGTCTGAACGTAGCCTAAGTGGATCTGTTAATACGAGTACACGTGCACATACGGCGTTTATTTTTTTTATCGAATACTCAACGCGGCCCAGCCTCACTCAGACTTTATCTAATGTGGCCCCCAGGTAATTTGAGTTTGAGACCCCTGCATTAGAGGGACGCACGCTAATTGTGTTGTAACAGTGCTCTGAAGGGGGAGTGACTTAGCATGGAGGGCAAAAGGAAGGGCGACTCAGAGCATCGAAATGAACGTGAAACATGCTAATAAATTGTTTTGAAAATGTTACACCCTTCAGGATTCTCTACACAACAAAAAGTGGAGTGTTAAAATTGACTCTCACAGAATCAACTTTAACATTTTCTCAGAGTTAATATGAGTTTAATCTGTTCTAGAGTTAATTTAACATTTTTGTAAATGTTAATTAAGTAACACTGGGCCAAAGTTCCTGTTTAACCCCGAAATCCAGAGTTATTTTAACGTTTTGAGAGTAAACAGATAACACTTTAGAGAGTTATCCTGATTTCTCTAAACAACACAGAGAGTTGTTTTATTTTATTTTTACTTTATTTGAGTTAATTTAAGATGAAATTATGTACAAAACTGGTTCAAACTGCTCTTCTCTCACAAGAGTTTGAAGTGGTGAACGGGAGGAACCAAATTAACACTAAGAGAAGTTGAATTAACCTCAACCACATCAACTCTGGAGCTGTTAACTTGAAAACCACCACTTCGTGACATCACAAGCTGGAACAGAGCATTTTGAGGATGTGTGAATGAAACAAAACACAACTCCGGGTGTGTTTTTGAGGAGGTAACACCATTATAACATGATTCAGAGCTCATTTTTGTGTACTATAGGAGCTTTAACTCTGTGATTGTGTCATTCCGAGATCCTTCCTCCTTCCTCCTCCTGGGGCGACTGGAACTGCAGCTTTATCTTTCGCCCCCCCCTTTTTTTTTTTTTTTTTTACACTACGGTTGCTATGGTAACAGTTATGCAATTACCTCTGCGTGGCTCTACGGTCTATTATTAAAAGCCCTGCCAGGGACCTCCGCGTGACATCATAATTGTAAGTTTTTAACCCCGCCCCCCTCGTCACACGGGGCGCGCCTTAATTACCCCCATGAATATTGCAAACGCAACCGGAGCACATGATGTATGAGTTTGGACAATGTGGGTCTGGTGACGGCTGGTTTGGTGTAAGAGAAAGAGAAAGAGAGAGAAAGACAGGAAAGGAGAGGAGAGGAGAGGAGGACAATAACGATATAAACATGTCCTTCACACTCTGAGCTCTTTCAGGGGGAGAGGCAGAGAAGGGATGGAGAGATGGACGGCGTTACAACCTGTTCCTGCGGATGAAAGGAAGCAACAGACAGCAGAACTTAACGGGTAAATAATAGGTGACCCTTTTAATTAACAAGCAACGTAGGATATAAGGCAGTGCAAAAAGTATACACTGAACTCAAAAGTAGACTAAATCAAACTCCAATTACAAATAAAAATGACAACAGATTACAACATTTCAGACAAAGCAATAACATCTCCATGGGATAAAGCACCTGAAGAAGAACCTTCAAGTAACTAAAGTAAGGCCCCGTATGGAGTAAGAAAGCTGTCAAAAATATTCGTGCGCGTAAAATAGAAATCCGTGCGTATTTGGCTGTAGTTGCGCATAAAATAAATATTTGTAAACTCTCAAATGACTCCAGTCGTACATAAAATATATTGTGTGTATTTTATCCATCAGAATACGAATTGAAAAATTACGACGTCATGAATTACAATCACGAAATGAAAATGTACGATTACGCTTTCATCAGTACGAATACGAATTCACAGACGGAATTTTACTGTCAAAAATACGTCATCACTTCACAGACATTATCCATCGAGCAGAAGAAACATCGATCAAGATCAAGACTGCGCAGCTCAAGTTTGTAGCAGAGGGTAAAAACAGAGTAAAAGCACAAGAAGCTACAACAGCGACCAACAAGTGGGTTCATTAAAATCTATTGTAAAAATGTCTTGAATTCAGGAACCGAACGCTGCTGTATAATATTGTGTAGAAACACCTCCTTTGAACGGGAAATTGCACCTATATGTTAGAAAACATAGTGGAGCCAGTTGGCAACATCCGACGTAACGTTATCCCAGGGCTAATTA